GAGGAGGAAGAAGAAGCAGAAGGAGAGAGAAGAACAAAGAAAGGAAGGTCCTTTTATCAGTTTTGGGGTGGGCTATTGCTTATTTATGAGGAGTGAGCTACTTTTAACCTATCACAGGCCAGATTGTTTTTATGGGCCCAGTCCTGCAGACACAGGTTTCAACTTTCCTGGACCACTGTGGCCTTGGGGGGGAGGGAAACCAGAGATAAGGGCATGAGGTCATTTTAGGAGCCAAGATGTACCAGGAGAATGCAGCCTGTGAGGCGGCGTCACAGCATACTTTAACATGATCAGTTCCCTAACACATGTAATGTAGAGAAAAGGAGGCCTTCAGGTAGTGCTCCCAGATAATGCGAAATCTGGGGTTTTGTAGCAGAGAAGATGCAGAAGAACTTCCGGTCAGAGTTCCATCCTTAGGTGATGTCAGAGAATTCATCTGAGACTAAGCTGCTCGTGGTATGAATATGCAAAATCATGAGTGTACTGAACACCAGATCATTCACCCCGTAGAGAAGTGGTGAGTGCAAGCACTGTGGAAAATCACCCAGGGATGTCTTAGTGATTTCTCATCACTGGAGGATTCACAGGCGAGGAACGCTCTCGTACAGATCGTGGGAGGGCTTTTAGGCAGTCATTAGGCTGCTTCATCCTAGAGAAAAGCTTTGATGAGGAAGAGTGGGGAGAAGTCTCAGTTCTCTTCATTATTGGATTTCAAAGAATCCTAAAGGATATAGAGGAAAACTTTCTGGGCAAATTCAAGGTTAATTAAGTAACACACGAAAGCACCAATCCTATTGCCAGGCAGGGACTTAATTTTTTTTTTTTCTTTACTCTACGCCCATAAGAGCCTCCATTCCTTTCTCTGATGGTCCTAAAGGATTTTTATTTTTGTCTTTACTGACTCCTCTTTCTTATTCCTTTTATAAGTTTAAGTTCACCCTAGTAGGTATGTGTATCTGTTGAATGAATGACATCATAAGACAGGCTCACATAATGTTCCTGTCTTTGGCATTTGGGGACAGGAGACCATATGAAGGGAACACAGGACTGCACTGAGAGGGGCTGGGCTCAGTGGCAGATTCTGGTGGTTACAACATCTAAAATCATAGCATCCAAGGCTGGACCTAAAGATCTGACGACATACCACGGCCACATCTCTACACCGCTGAAGATTACTCTGAGATAGCAAATGGGGTGGGTGGCTTTTCTAAGGGCTTGAACACAATGAAACAATTTGCTTTTGTCAGATACATTCAGATGATGCCAGTCTAGTCTTTGTTTTACATTAAAGAATAGAGTTTGAAAGAGGAAGAGCCAGGGAAGGGAAGAATCAGGCTCACTTCTTGTCACAGAATCACAAAACCGGAAGCTGCACTGAGGGGAAGCTTTCTTCAGTCCTCATTTACCAATTGCTCTCTCACCTGCCAATCTCACTCCCCTTCCTAGACTCCTAGTCTAAATCTCCCAAAATACATCCTCGCCTCCCACTACCTTAACTCTCCAATTGCGTTTGAAGTGACTCAGGTCTTGTGCATTTCTGCCTCCTGACTTTACTTGGAAAAGACAGAAACAAAGGTGGATATGGCGGGCAGGAGGGGTGGGGGATGGAGAAACTGAGGAGCGCCGTACAAGGCAATGAACAGGGCCACAAGTCAGGGGACTTTGTGCCTAAGATGATCTGAAACATCAAGGCTTGCTAGACAGGAAGGCCCCACAGTTTGGTTCCAGCTGCCATAAACTTCTTCACCTATGACAGAGACTCAAAACATCCAGCTGTAGATGCCTACCTCTCTCCAGAATTCACCCAACTCCTTGCTCCTTCCATGGCTTCTGGGCCCTTGCACAGGCCCCCACATCTCAGGCACTGAACCTCTCTGAACTTGTTTGCCCTAAACGTCATCACTGAGCCCATCTTGGATACTCAGACATCTGGAAACTTCCTGAATATTTTTCTTTTCTTGTCTGTCCAGGGGTTGAGATTAAGAGCTGGGATTGCCCTGCAGGCTGTGACCAATCCTGAATTGTATTTCTTACCACCCCAGACTACTTCCTCTCATCAGTGCTTTGGTAGATTTTCCCACTTGGAACTGTGACAAGAGCCAGAGGGCGCAGGGGGGCGTCATGGGGCAGATGACACAAAGGTTCTGAGACTGCTTCAGGCTGCAAGGAGCAGAGACCTGCTTAGAAAACAAAGACCTTTAACTGATACAGCTAAAGTGCTGGAAGCCACTAGTTCTAGAAAAGGGTATAGTGGCTCAATGATGTCATCGAGGACCTGGACTCCTTCTGTGTCACTCTGCCTCAACAGGCTTGCTTTCCCCTGCATCTTGTGGTCTCAGGGACTCAAGATGCTCCCAACCATTTCTCCATAGTTCACTGCAGCACTAAGCCTCATGTTTTCTAAGCCAACTGACAGCAAAGGGAACATGTAATGAGCTTGCTGCAGTGGCTGAGGCTGAGCCAGGTGGGCTGTAGGCAGTGGGCAGCTCAGGGGTTGGCACCTTGCTCTGGCTTCTATCAGCTCTGCTCAGGTTGGCCCCTCTTTACCTCTTGCCAGAAACAAGCCTATTTTTCTCTTCACCATAGCTTGTCCTGTTCTTCTTTACTCAAACTTTTTCCCCCAGTGGAATTTTGAGCAGCGCACTGGTCCACCCGGGCCCTGCTCGCCCTCGTGACATCCTGTCACACACCGTCTAGATGATCTCCATTTTAGGTCAAATTTCTCAAAGGGGAAACCTGACCAGTCTGACTGGCTTTATGTTGAGCCAGGTAACTTCAAAAGTTACCAGCCAGCCTAAGCTGGGCTCCAACCCAATGAACTGTGCAGAGTCCCATGGTACGACAGCCACCAGGGAGGGCAGCGGGGCTGGGGGCAGACAGGCAGAGGGGAGCCCAGTGGAGAGGACCAAAGAGAAGTGCAAAGGTCACTGAGGACACCATGGTCCCAGAGGATGCTTCCAGGAGTGGAGGGATGCGCTAGATGACACAATCAAGACCTCCATCCCCAACCATTCCAGCCAATCCCATGAAGTTCTTGGAACAGTGGGGCAGAAATTAACCATAATGCCTGGCTTGCAGAACTGAGAGCACAGTCACAGATTCCTGAGTCTGCCATGACTCCAGATTCTCCAGTTCCCTCAGCAGATTCCAGTGACTGCTGGAGGGAAGCCTGCTGGCTCAGGAATGTGACTTTCACAGGGTGGGAAGTGCTCACTGTGAGACTCTTGGAAGGTCTCTTGGAAACCTTGGTGTGGCTTTGACAGGCTCAAGAAGAGGTACTGGAGGAGGAACAGTTTCAAGATGGCCCCATGTCCCAGCCAGACTGCAGACTGGTGGTTTCAGCAAATGGAATGAAAAGTCCTGCAGTAGAAAAACTGACAAGAAAGGCAGAGCAGACCTGGACTTGAATCCTGGCTCCTCTACTTATGAGCTGTGGGGCTTCAAGCAAGTGACTGAACTTCTTTGCGTCTTAGTTCCTTCATTTGTAACAAACAAGAACAGAAACACTGCTGCTGTCTCAGAGGGTTGAGGGGAAGATTAAATGGATCCTGCACGTGACATGTGGCACTGGGGACACAACATGGATGCTGGTTACTGGTGTTAGTAACTCACTAACTAGCTTCCGGGTATTTCTGGTTGGGAGCTCAAGTGCTGTCCTCACGGTGGGGAGTTGGGGTGGGGAATGGAACAGGGGGTGACTTGACTTTACAGCTTTCCATCTAGACCTGGTGTCTCTGACTCTCTCTCTCTCCTGGTTTCTTGAGCAGTTTCCTAAAAGCCTTTGAGAGGTGTCTGCAAGCTCCTTGGGAGGGGCTGATGTAGGGTCACCCTTTGCTCCTCTAACAGCTTTCACTCTATTACCTGCTTTAATCTCTTTACCTGTATTTCTCATATCTTATCTGGTGTGGCCTCAGGCCAGCTATTGCCAGAGCAATTTAAAAGAATATTCTGGAGACTCAGAGCAGCTGTCTCCCAGGGCCTGGATAACTGGGTGAGTATGTGGCCTCTGGTAAGACAACAGTGGCAGCTGGTGGGCCCACCTTCCCTCCTGTCCACAACACCCAAACTCGGACCTGCCACCTGTTCAGCAAGTCCAAGTGATCATTCTCGCTGTCGGGCCAAGCACAGCTTGGCTTATTTGCTTTAAAGTAAGTTGGAAGAGAGCTCCAAGCTATTTCCTAAATTCAGACACAGAAGTTGTCCCTATTTTTCAGGGGAGACAGATTTTGTAACTAACAAGAGGAAAGAGGCCTATTCTGTACTTCCTGTACGGCACCCAGAACTTAGCCATATGCCAAAGAGATGAAGTCATGAGGTAGAGAGGGGACACAGTACAATTATTCATCTCTGACCTCAGGTTCCCTCTGTGAGCTCCTGGTGGCTTTGTTACTAGGGAGTAGTTATCCATTCGGGAGATACTCTGTGGATACCTCTCCTGCCAGAGGCCAAGCTAAGCACTGCAGCAGTGACAAGTGAAGGCACAGGTCCTGCCCTCAGGAGCTCCAGGTGGCCCCTGAGCCAGGCTCACTTAACCAGCTCCTCTGCAGCAGTACAGACAGCTGTTTGTTCCCAGCCTGTCCCCTGCCCATGGACACTCCCAGGCCCAGCACAATTCGTGCTGACTGGCAACATCTCCATGCAGGGCTGAGGTGATGAGGACTAGGCCTCTGCCACCTTCTGGGGCTTCAGGGCTTATCTGGCTGGCCTGCCGGGGTTGGGGGCTGGGGACAAAAGGGTGACAGTAAGTACAAGGTCACCTTCCTCCTTGTGTAACCTTGAAGAGAATGAGGGACAAGCATCCCAGAAGAGGCAGGCTGCATCTTCATCAAAGGCAAGCTCCCTGAATCATCTGCTTGGACCCCTGTGTCCGCAGCTGTGGAGACAGCCTCGTCCCAGGGTGTTTCATGCTCAGAGGTGCTGTGGAGAATCCAAATGAAGTGATGCAGTTCCTTTGCAAGGAGTTTAAATCTGTTGGAGGAGAAAAAGGCATAACCAGGTCATGGAGGAAGAGAGCACAATGTGGGTGTCAAGAGGGTCTTTCAGGCAGTACATGCTGCTTATGGTGCGTCTAGGGCCATGTCCCGGGAAGGTTTCTTCCCATGTCCTGGGAAGGCTTCAGGGAAGAGGGGGAATCTGGGCACCTTGAAGGATGGGAGGTGGCCAGGGCCGTGCTCCATGGCTACCACCACATACTCCCTGATGTGGGTGCTTGGCATCCCCTATGAACTGCAGATTCACCCAGGGTCTTCCCTTCTTGGCCTGTGGCAGTCACGGAAGGGACGGCTGGAGGCTGGTGAGATATGTGTGCCAGAAACGGAGGCCTGTGACCCTCAATTCCCACCGTGTCACAGCAGTGCGAGACCAGGATCTGGTCATGCTTTGTACTGAGACAGATCCTGCTTTGGGGACATGCAGATGCTAAATCCAACCTCCCTCCACTGGTACAGTGCACGTGGCCAAACACTTGGACAGGATTCTGGCAGAAAATCAAAGAACTCATACAGCAGGGGAAATCTTTGAATATTATGAATAGGGGAAATTTTCATTCATCTCTTAATTCATACTAGAGAGACTCCCTCTGAATGGCTCCCATAGAGGAAGCTCCTTGGCTGGAGGGGAGCAGGCACAAAGAACAGAAAATCACAGGGCAGAGAGAGCACGCAATAAGCCTGAACCTACGTCACTGCCCCTCGTGCACATCCCGATGCACGGTGTGCAGTGCAAAGTCCTTTGAATGTGATGAATTGGGGGTGGTGATCGTTTGAGGAAAAATCAGCCCTTATTCATCACTGAGGTTCCGGCTGGAGAGCGGGCGGACGATCATCACAGATGACGAAGCTCCAGGGGCGCCCCCATCTCCGACAGGGAGACCAGGGAGGGGGCTGAGGACGCGGTGTGTGGGGGGCTCAGAGCACTCGTGACTTCAGACGTTCACCGGACAGGGCCGTGATGAAGGTGGCGAATGCAGAAAATGGTCTTGTCAGCGCTTAGACTTTTAGCAGTAGGAATGGAAGAGACTCTGGCTGTGAGGAAATCAGGCTCCTAGGGGACAGTGTGCCCAGGACAGGCCGTCCTGCATGTGTGGTGCTTGGGGACCACCGGCAGAGGTGGTGATTCCGTACAGAAGGCAAGAGTCAGGCGCTGCAGCTCTCAAAGTTTCCTTTTCCCTAGGTCTCCAAGTTTTCATCATCTTTCTCCTCCTTCTTCTCTCGATTGATTCCTTTCCTGGCCCCAGCATCATGTGCTCTGCACGGCCTGTGATGGGCAGGAGGCCTCCTGTGCCCTCTGCACTGTGACTCCTGCCCACACACCCCAGCAGCTGCTGTGGGTGACTCATTCATTCGTTCACCCATTCCATGCATAGCTTCGGAACGTCCGCTCCACCCGACGCCTTGTCCTTATCTGTGCTGGGACGCAGAATGGGGCAGGAGGAGGTGTCACTGACAGATGGCTTGGGCAGCCTAGGGGAGCAGATCAGGGTCGCAGACTAACAGCAGCTTTGGGATTCTAAGGGTGTTCTGTCCCTAAGTTCCAGAGGAGAGCTCAGGCGGGAGCAGGAAGGGAGGAAGAACTGATCCTTGGCTGCCTCCTTTGAGCTGATGCATGGTTTCTCACAGCAATTCTGCCAGCTTGGTAGGAAAGAAGCTATGTGTGCTGTGAAGAGGTGGCTGAGACAGGATTTAAGGGCAGATCCGTCTCATGCCAAGTCCCATGGAATCCCCACCACCAGACAGAGATGGTCCTTTAGCCACAGCATTCCAGAGTCATGGGGGACAGTGAGGGGCACCTGATGAATGCGAGGGCAAGGGGAAGGAAGGAGAGAAATGAACAGGGAACACGGCAGGCTCACTTATTCTTTCAATTGTGCACGCACACACCTTTCACTGCACTCATAAGCCTGAAGAGTGCCGAACACTGTGCAAGGAGCTGGGAGGCAAGTGGGTAAGACTCCTAAGTGCCAAATATGTTGGTGTACACCTGTAATCCCAGCATTCTGTGAGGCTGAGTCTGGAGGATCGTAAGTTCAAGTCCAGCCTGGGCAACTTAGCCACTAAGGAAACAGGAAAAAGAGGTGGGGATACAGCTTAGTGTGGAGGCCCTGGGTTCACTCCTAAGTATGGGGATAGAGAAGCGGGGGGGAGTTGTCCCTTCCGTAGGAGCTCCCTCCAAGAAGAGAGGCAGATGGTTCACTGTGTCAAGTGTTTTGCAGTAGTAAGTGTTGGGCCCCGCAGAAACTCAGGAAAAGCACACAGCCAGACTCTTGGAGTTGACTAGGGACACTGAAAAGTGGTGACATCTTCAGACATGCTGCCAGGCAGGTGGGAAGACCTGCTGCTGCAGGGCGGAAGGGCAGGGAGGAGGCCCTGTGAAGTTGGCAGCTGAAGGTGTCAGGCTGCAGGCATGGCCTGGGCAGCGTTTTTTCTAGAAGCCCAGGGCTAAGAAACAGGAGTAGATCTGTGCTCAAACTCAAGCACATGTGGTCCAAAAGCAAGCATATTTTGCCTGTCTTTTCCTCACAAACCAAGGTTTCCAGAAGTGCAATGAACACCATAAATGATAATGTGGGAGGAGCAAGGGGTGACTTTGATAGAGGTGCTAGTTCCTCTCCTCGGAGGAACCGGTCTGGGCAGAAAGGGTAGCAGTTTCGGCTGTAGGCTCCCACCGGCCCGTGGGTTTCGGGGTTCGGGGCTCGTTCGTGAGCAAACATCTCCCCCTGGTGGCCAAGAGCGGCATTGCCTTGGAGAGCAGGGTGGGTGGGGTCTGCGCGGGGCAAGGGCAGGGGACCTTCTCTAGGTCTTTATCTGAAATCCGGTGAAAGCAGGGTTGTGGCTGGGAGGAGCATGTGAAGCCCAGGAGATTCCCCAACTCCCTCTTTAGGGGGGACAACCAATGGGGGAATTTTTCTTTTTGGTACTGGGGATCGAACTCAGGCCCTTGTGCTTGCAAGGCCGGCGGCAGAATCACTGAGCCAAATCCCCGGGCCCTGGGGTGGGGGTGGGGGGGATGTTTACATACACATGTATATCCACATGGATAAAAAAAGTATTTGATATACTTAAATATAGATGAAAAGAAAATATTTTTTTCGTTTTATTATGTACAGTACTTTAATTTTTGTTTGTTTGTTTTCTGGTACCAGGGATCAAACTAGGGACCATACACTTCTGAGGCAGGTAGCAGAACCACTGAGCTAAATCCTCCGCCCTTGTTTTGTTTCTTGAGGCAGGGTCTTGCTATGTAGCTCAGGCTGGCTTGAACCTATGGCAATCCTGCTGCCTGGGCCTCAAGTGCTGGGATTACAGGAATGCACCAATACACCTGGCTTTAATATCTATTTCAGGCATTTCTTTGTTTTTTGCCATCCTGGGAATTGAACCCAGAGCCTAATACATGCTAGGTGAATGCTCCAGCACTGAGCTATACCCCAGCAACACCATCCTTGTATTATGTGAGCAGAGCCTTGCTAAATCATCCAGGCTGGTCTAGAACTTGTGATCCTCCTGCCTCAGCCCCCAAGTAGTTGGGATTACAAGTGTGTCCCACCACACCCGGGACATGCATTACTTCTGCTGACAAGAGAAAACATGTTTTTGGTTTTGTTTTTTTTTTTTTTAGACAGGGTCTCACTAAGTAGTTGAGACTCATCTGGAACTCACTATGTAGGTCCAGGCTGGTCTCGAACTCACAGTGATCCTCCTGCCTCAGCCTCCCAAGTGATGGGATTACAGGCGTGTGCTACCACGCCCGGCTTGAAACATGTTATTTTAAAAAGAGCAGAAGTTATAGGAAAGTGGCTGCAGAGGAGCCCCAGGTAGAGGCCAGAAGCTGATGTGTGTGCTGAGGGGCAGCTGTGGCTCCTGCCCAAACCTGGACGGTTATCAATCCACACTGAGAGGCTTGTCTGGGGCCCGGGATCCCTGAGGAATGCTGCTTATGGTGCCTCTAGGGCCATGTCCCGGGAAGGTTTCTGAACCTTTCTGTGTCCAGTGTGCCATATGTAAAATGTATTCCACACAGTTACCAGGAAGATAAAATAAAACTAGAAAAAGGTGTTTTGTGAGCTGGGTGTGGTGGTGCACACCTATAATCCCAGCACTTGGGAGGCTGAGGCAGGAAGATCATGAATTTCAGGCCAGCTTGGGCTATGTAGTGAGTTTAAAGCTGGCCTGGACATAGTGAGATCCTGTCTCAAAACAAAATAAAATTGTGCTTTGTAAAAATGCCACACAACACACAGACACACACACACACTCCACGGGTAGTGCGGGTGGGAGTCTAGGTTACACAGCTGAGCCGAGCCCCCGTCACACCTGTGGCTCCAGAGGCTGAGCCAGCCTTCTGTGGCTCAGCCATGCCAGTCTCTGTCAGTGAGTCGCTGGGTGACAGTTTCTGCTCAGCCCGTCCGAAGGTGCCCAGGGTGTGACTCTTCAGTCAGGGGCGTACAGAGAACCAGGCTTGTCCTTTTCCATCATGTCACCTACAGTGATCCTGGGCCAGGTGCAGTAAAAGGCCAGCCCTGACTGCTGGTGCTCCGCTCCGGTCCTGGGGTGCCTTCCAGGGCAGACTGACGATCCTTTGCAATCCACCAGCCACCTGAGCACTAGTAAAGAGCCTGTGATTCATATGTGACTGATGCTGCCAGGGCTCTAGCCGGCGCGCCCTTCCTGCCACTTGGCCCTTGGGCACTGGCTCACGTGTCTCTGCAGTGTCTCTTGACTTCTGAACCTGCTGGCCAATGGGTATGACTAAGAGTCATGGGACATCCTCAGGGGCCCAGCAAGGGCCTGTGCATGTGAATGAGCCCGTGTGGCTTCCTGATGGGTCACGCGCCTGGCTTGGCAAAGGCCTTCCCAGGGCCCTGGGCTCATGGGCTTGTCTCCCGGCAAGGGGGAAATGCCCTTGACGGCGCTGCCAGCCTCCCCTGTCCAGAAACAGCCATTTGTTGGTCAGAATAGCATGCTCACCCCCGACAGGCCTGTCTCCTGCAGATCCCTGTGGGCAGGGTCTGCTGGGACACTGGCCACATGTGCAGGGCACCGAGGGGTCTTACCGCGCCTCTGATTCTGATCTTAGGAAGGGAAGGCCACGGCTCAGCTTCTCTGCTGCCAGGGAAGAGAAAGGAACATTCCCAGGTGGTTCCTAGTTTGGTGCCTGTGTGAAGTTGTTCACAGGAGCCTCTTTCAGAAAGTCACTGATGGGCGGTGAACTCCTTGTTCTCAGTCCTGAAGTCAGAAAATCCAAATATAATCCTGTGCAAAAACAGCCAGCAAAAACGCCATGCTTGCCACAGGGGATGACTACACACACTAGGGCATAGAGCACACGAATGACAAGTGACGCTGTAGACTATTGAGTGGTCATGTCTTCTGTTTTTTTGAGATGGGGACCTCAGCTGGGTGTGGTGGTGCATGGCTGTAATTCTAGCATTTGGGAGGCTGAGGCAGGAGGATTGCCACGAGTGTGAGTCACTTCAATAAAGTGTCTTGCTAGACTCTCTACATTCTGAAGTATATCTCTTTAAAATTTGTTCTCGGAGCTGGGGTTGTGGCTCAATGGTAGAGTACTTGCTGGTCATGCACTAAGCTTTGGTTTTATCCCCAGCACTGGGGAAAAAAAGTACAAAGAGAAAGTCTTTTTATAATTCTATTTCCCAGATATGGTCTAAATTTGAATCTTCCAATTCAAGGAAATGTGTTTTCAGTATAGGAACTGAGCCCAGGGCCTCTGTACTAAGGCCCTAGATTATTTTATTTCTTATTTTAAAACAGGGTCTCACTAAGTTGCTAAGTTGCCCAGGCCAGGCTTGAACTTGTGGTCCTCCTGCCTCAACCTCCCAGAGTGCTGGGAATATAGGTGTGTGCCACCATGCCTAGCTTGATTCAGCTTTTGATAAAAGTCATAGTTTAAAAAACTAAATAGTTTGGGGCTGGGAATTTAGCTCAGTGGTTCCGCCACCTGCCTCCCAAGTGCAAGGTCCTGAGTTTGATCCCCAGTACCCAAAACAAAGACAAAGCAAACAAACAACTAAATGGCTTTATTATAAAGGAAATGTAATTTAGATATATTGATGCCATGACCATATTTCATAGATTTTTCTATGAATGTTCTTATTTCAAATACTCTGTCTCATTTTCTCAAAAGCCATTAAAACAGTTCAGAAAGTCCAGCTTTTTGGAATCTAAACTACCTGTCCCATCAGGTGTGGTGGTGCACACCTGTAATCCCAGCACTCAGGAAGCTGAGGCAGAAGGATTGCTGTGAGTTCGAGACCAGCCTGGGGCTACACAGTGAGTTCCAGGGCAGTCTCAACTACATAGTAGACAGTCTCAAAAACAAACAAACAAAACAACAACCCCCCCCAAAAAAAAGCCCTAAACTACCTGTCTTGACAGCCTCTAATCCCTGGAACAGTACCCACATTCTCAGTTAAGACTCCTTGTAACAGTTTTCTTATTTACATAGTTTGGTGGTACTGGGGATTGAGCCCAGGGCTTTTGTATCGAGCTACATTCCCAGCACTTGTATGTACGTATGTATATGTGGTTTTCTGTTTTGGGTTTTTTGTTTTTTTTTTGTACTAGGGATTGAACTCGGACCCTTGTGCTTATGAGGCAGGCAGAGGAACCACTGAGCCAAATCCCCGGCCCTGGTATATGTGTTTTTTGAGACAAAATCTCCCTGAATCACTAAGTTGACCAGGCTGGGCTCCCATCTGAGATCCTTCTGCTTCAGCCTCCCAGTGTGCAGAGATTATAGATGTGCACTACCATGCCTGGCCTTATTATATTAGTTTTCTATTGCTGTGTAAAATTGTCCTGAAGCTCTTTTATGATCTCACACAGTTCCCTGGAGCTGGGCACCTGGGAGTGGCTCAAACTGGGTGAGGCCAGCTCAGGGTTCTTGCTGAGATTGAGGTCAAATTGTCTGCTGAGGCTGAGAATTTTTTTTAAACTTTGGATTTGTGTCCCCAGAGATTAACAGTTCTGCTAAGAACATAAGTGAAGAAAGATAACAAGCCTCAGGAACTTGGGCATTGTGTCTTTCAGCAAGAAGGTACAGTATTGTATATGGGAATGTCAAAAACATAATAGATAAGGAGACATGGCAGCTTGCAGTTGAGCAGGAAACATGAAACCTCAGTGGCACATGTCTGTAATCCCATTTTAGTAAGACCTTATCTCAAAATAAAATAAATGGCCGGGAATATAGCTCAGTGGTAGGGATCTTGCTAGCATGTGTAAGGCCCTAGGTTCCATCCTCAGTAATTGCAAAACACGAAATTCCAAGATATAAAATCTGCACTTAATTCTGTACTGGGAAAGGTGACTGTATAATTTTGTAGAAAATGGTTAAAATTGGTTTAAATAATGACTTCAAGAAAGCCTACTCAGATGAAAATGAAATCAAGAGGTGGGGAAACCACCCCCCAGGTCTGGAGATCATCCAGTGTCTGATTTATGCCAAAAAGATAAAATACAGTGGTATTTCAGGTCATGAGCTTAATTCTTTCTGGGATTCTGGCTGCAAACTGAACTGGATGAGAACCAAATCAAATGTACAAGAGCTAAGATTAGAAAAAAGGCATTGGGTCAAAACTGATCTGATGTTAATTTTCTTTGGAAGCCCATCCTGACCCTGTTTTCCCACATCAGTCCTCTCTTCTCCTCCCAGGGGTTCTGTCACTGAATTCTGTCTCTCTATCTCTTTCTCTCTCTCTCTCTCTCTCCCTCTCCCTCTAACAGGACTGCCACACCTTCCATGACAGGCAGCACTCCTGCGCCAGAGCTCCTTGTGGGGCTCCTTGCTGTGACTCTCTGGCCTCAGCCACTTGGGCAGAGCACGCTAACTGGAGTGCCAAGGGCATCCTGCTGCTGGGTGAATCCTGCGCAGAGTCCCTTTCCACAATGGTCCTGTTCTTCCACCTTCAACCTCAGAATTCTGTCCTACATTCAAGGAACCGGGGGGATCAGGGACACAGCCCTCCTCATTGCTGCCTCCACTCTGGACTGTGAAAGTCTCCAGAGAGGTTCGCTTGTGCCACAGGATGGTCATGTTTCACAGAAATGCCTTATGAGCTCCAGTATGTTGCAGACTTCCTGAATCACACTCAATATATGTTTAAAATTAAAAACCCCTTGATTTTGGAAATCTTCAGTCCCACTAAAGTAGGGAGAATACAACAGCACAACAAACTCTCACACCCCTCACCCAGCTCCTGTAAGAATTCAATTTTTGCCACACTTGTATCTTCCTGGATGCAAATGGAGTATTTTAAAGCAAATGTCAGATACCATACCTTTGTTCCCCCCATGAATAACCCACTGCGCATCTCTAGCAGAGGATTAAAATAATACTTTATATCAAACAGAATTCAAATGTGTACAATAGTTCAGTCATCTCTGTGTATGAAACACGGCCAGCTCCAGCAATGATCAGCAAGTGGACACTAATTTTCTTTCACCTATAGGCTTCCCTTCCCTCTCCAACACTGTTCTCCCACCTTCTTTTGCAGTACTGGGAACTGAACCCAGGGCCTTCCCGCACTAGACAAGTGCATTATGTGTCTCTAAGGCTTTTCTTTATTTTTAAATTCTTTTGTGTTGGTACCAGGAATTGAACACCCAGCCTTTGCACTGAGCCTTACTCTCTTTTTAATTTTTAAGACAGGGTCTTGGTTAGTTATTAAATTGGCTAGATTAGGCTCAAACTTGTGATCCTCCTGCTTTAGCCTCCCAGAGTGCTGGGCTTGTTGGCATGCATCACCACGCCAAGCCTTTTCTTTTTAAAGCATAACCCCAAATTATTATCTCAACTAAACATTTTAAACAGAAATTCCTTAATACTCTTAATCAATGTTCATATGTCCCTGATCTTTAAAAATTTCGGTTGGTTGGTAGAATCATGATCCGAATAAGGTCTGCAGTGCATGATGCATGTGGCCAGTAAGTTTCTTCATCTACTGGTCCACTTTCCTCTTAAAACAACAACAAAAAAAGTGATTTGTTTATTTAAGTATGGCATTGTTCGTTAACTAAGTGAAAGCACCCCCCTTTAACTGCTGGCCTCGGTTTCCCCTTCTGTAACACAAGACTGGACGAGACGGAGTCTGGGGACTCCACTCTGGGAGGCCCTCTGATCCACAGCATCCCCAGTGTGACTATAGTCAGACGTGGGCCAAATTCGTTCCACCGGAACCTGTCGGGCAAGCGGAACCGAGGGAAGCAAGCGCCTGGGCCTGGTAGGCGGGACCCGGCTGGCGCGGAGGCGGGGCGATACCGCTCCTTTCCGTGGCAGTCACTGCCCCCTGGAGGGGCCCCGGGAACCCACCATTCTAGCATCCAACTCGGGGTTAGAGGCCGAGGTAGCCCAAGAGGTGTTTTACCGTACGCCAGAAAACGCTCACCGTCTGAAGAGCAAGTCGGGCTGCTCGCTCTGTCCGCGGAGTCCGCCTATGGCCAGTAGAGGCGAACGCTAACCGGTATCGGCTTGGCTGTCCTGGCGCGGAGCCGGCTTCTTCCCAACTACAACTCCCGGAGTCCTCAGCGCAAACCGGTTACTGCGGAGACGGGCTAGGCTCACGACGGCGGGTTTGTCGCCACTGTGGTCGTAGGTGACTTGGGCCTCCATGTTGTCGTGCGCAGGTTTCCGAACTAGCTTTTTACACTTTCCCACCACCCAACCCTTTTCCATGGAGGGCGGAGGACGGAAAATTTTACCACCGTCTGTAGGTAGTCTAAACTACATCTCCAGGAATGCTCCGTGACACATCACTTCCGGTTGCGAGCAACTGTTACCATGGAGACCAGTCTGGGTATTTTGGGGGCCTCTGAAGCCTCGGGGAGTAGAGGAGCAGGAATCAGAGAAGTAGTACAGCGAGAGATAAAATTATTATTTTTGTTATAAAGCAACGTCGCAGGGCACGTCCCCTAATGTGCCTCTTCTGTTTTTATGGATGCTGAGGTTCCGCGCGAGTGGTGCACAAACCTCTTGGAAGTGCATTAGACTGCCCCAAGAACTATAGGAAATGTAGTCATTGATTACCCACTATAACCTCTAGCACTTGCTTTCGGCCAAACACAGGGCACTCAACTCTTCCACTCCCATCTTGAACACTCAGGCATAGATTTTTGCCTCCTAAATATTTAAATATTTAATATTTCTCTCCATGCTCACCCTCATTCTGCGTTTCAGACTTTGTGCTTTTCCTAAGTGAAGCATATATCTGATTAGCTTGTCCTTAGTTGTCTTCCTGATAGCTCTGTTCTACGTGCTCCCACCAAAGTAATCTGTCCCTCCCTGCCTGCTTAAGGCTCTTCAACGTCTAACAGAATCAAGTTAACGTTCCTAGACTGGCATGTATATTAGACCTTTATCTACAGTCTCTCTTCTCATACAGAAGAGTTACAGATTGGTTCTCATCTCGTTTTCGACCGATTCCTTAAGGCTATTGAATTTTAAATAGCAGAGCTCAACTTCCTGCTTTTACCACTCAAACCCCAGAAAGAATGATAAATTCCCAATGCACTGAATTTGCAAGAGATACATATATTCTTTAAATTGGAAGTGGTGGTGCACGCTTGTGATCCCGGCTGTTTGGGAGGCCAAAACAGGAGAATTAGGCATTTGAGGCTAGCCTGGGCAATTCAGCTGGACCTTGAGTTGAAGAGAATAAAGAGCTGTGGGTATAGCTCAGTGGTGGAGTGCTTGCCTAAGTTGGAGGAAGCTCTGGTTTCAATTCTTGGGAGAGGGAGTGGGTATCACAAACTTTTATTAAGTCTATAAATGTAAAAAATGGGTTATATTTATTTCACACAACACTTTGAATGTCTAACATCTACAATTAGTCCTAATCCAAAGAGTAAATCTGCACTGAACCTGAGACAGGATAAAGCCTGCCCAAGGCCTAGATAAGAATGAACTATTAAAATAAAGAAAGATAAATGATGTGTTGCTCACTTCAAAGCACCAGGAACTTTCCCTTTGAAGTGGGATAGTTGGCAGACATAGCATTTCCACTGGCTTTTAACTTCAGTAGAAAGAATGTCCCATAACACCGATGTAGAGAGTCTTCAACTGATAATACAGTTTAGATAGAAGTCATATCAAAAGTATGTAGTCTATTCTTAACATTTAAAAACAGTTTCCTCCCTCATAATTTATTTAATTTCTTTGGTTTTGTTTTATAAAACATGAAATCCGCCCCCCATGAAAGGCTGCATTTGTTGAGAAAATATAAGCCAAGGTCAGAATATTCATGTAATTCTTAACAATTAGGCAGGGGAAGGCTGACATCAAGCTCTAAAAGAACCATACCACAGAGTAGTTTTCTGAAGTGATACACACTTGGTTGCCTTTTAAATGGACATCAAGTGTACAACTTCTTCTTCTTTTTTTTTTGATACTGGGGATTGAACTCAGGACCTTGTGTTTGTGAGGCAGGTGGCGGCACCAAGAGTATTACTTTTTTTTTTTTTTTTTAAAAACGTACTACTTTTTAAACAAGTTCCTACATGTCCCATGTTGTCAGGAAAACTCTACTCTTTGTCATAGGGATTTAGCCTCCCTTAGGTATATAAGGGCTTCCCAGTGTTCTTTATAGAATATAATGATCTCTAGGGGCTTTGCCTGACTAATTTTGAGATGTGGACATTCAGGTTACAGTGCATGAGAATAAGTTATCATTTTCTTCATAATGGATAGAGCTTCAGAACACTAGTTGTGATTTGGTTCGAAGAACTATGATGTTAATTATATGTGCAACACACTTGCCAACCATTGCCACCCTGACTCTGATTCAAATGTAGTTAATGTAGTCCTTATTTGCCCTACTGTTGTTGTTGTACGGTGTATTAGCTAGCTTTCTGTTACTGTAACAAAATACCTGAGATAGCCAACTTAAAATCAGTAAAGGTTTGTTTTGACTCGTGGTCTCAGAGGATTCAATCGAATGTTGGCCACATTGGTTTGGGGTCTGTAGCAAGGTGACATATCATGGCTAGGGGAACAGGGTAGAGCAAATTGGCAGTACAGAAGTGAAAAAGAGAAACAGAAAGAGATCAGTGTCCCACAGTCCACTTTGGAGGCATGTCCCCAGTGCCCTAAACCTCCCAATGAGGACCTAACGCTTCAAGGTTCCTACCACCTTCCAACAGCAGCAAGATGGGGACTAAGTTTTTATCATATGGGCCTTTGGGGCACATCTGAGATGTAAACTGTAGCTCTGTGGTTATTGTTACTTTACTAGTCTCAGTCTCAGTGTCTCAGTTACTTTCTCCTTGCTGAGATACAATGTCCAACACCTGCAACTTAAAGGAGGAGAGGTTTATTTTAGCTCATGCTTTCAGTCCATAATAATCAGGCTTCAAGGCAGAAAGAGCACCGTGGAAGGGCCTGGGTGGATACATCCTTCCAGGCCATGCCCCTGGGGTCCACCTCCAACCATGCTCCACCTCTTAGCAGCAAGTCTGCTACTGCACTGCCTTGATCCACCTTCAAAAGCCCCACCTTTGAACACAGCAGGCTTTGGCAGGACACTCTCAAGTTAAACCATAACAGAGGTGACTTTGAGCTATGTTCACAGGTGGAACCACCCAGTTAGATTTTGGAAAGAGCAGAGGCCTAGGGTCCAGTCTTTTCCTCTCTTCTAAATTGCTGGGTCATCGTGAACATTTGTTAACTTCTCCCTACAACATAGGCTTTCTCCTCTATTAAGGCCTCAGTGAGTGGCATTTGTGATAGGTGGCTCCTAAAGAGATCATGTCCCAATCCCTAGAACCTGTCAATGTTACTTCATTTGTTTGTTTGTTTTTCGTACAGGTGATCGAACTTGGGACCTTGCACTTGCTAAGCAGGTGGCAGAACCACTGAGCTAAATCCACAGCCGAATGTTACTTTATGTGGAAAAAGAGTGCAGATGTGATTGTTAATAAGGAGATTATCTGTGTGGAGCCCAAATGCAATTACAAAGGCGCTGTAATAGAAAGAAAGAGAGAAGGAGATTTGAGACAAACATAGACATGGAAGGGTAACATGGGGACAGAATGGAAAGAAACTTGAAGACGCTGCAGTGATTCAACCACAAACCAAGGAAATGACAGGAGCCCCAAGAAGCTGGAAGGGGCAAGAAATAGTCTCTCCTGGAGCTCCCAGGAGTGTGGCCCCAGTGGTATCTTTTTTTTTCAGCTTTAATTGAGTTTATTGGTACATTTTAGGGATACAGTACAGTTACATTCATTGTTGGGATCTTGTACCTCTACATGACAAGTCTTGGTTCTCATTTTTTCCCCTTGACCCTGCCCTCCCTTCCCAGTGGTATCTTATCTGGACCCGGTGATACTGATTTTGGACTTCCAGCCTCCAGAACTATGACAGAAGCCTTGAAAGAAGCTAATTCTTGTTATTCACAGTAGTTGTGTTCTATAAAGTCACCAAGAATGATGAATTAGTAATACTGAGTGCTGATCTCCAAAGAAATATAGGGCTAAATCCCTGCAGCCTCTCACAATATTTTCATCAGCTGATTGTTATGTAACCTTTTTATGTGTTTATTTTCAAATATGCTTTATTTCAAATAAACTGTTGAGTCATAATCCCCAAATTCATGGCCCACAGCACTGTAACTCCTGCTCCTGATCTGAACACACATTGTGTCCCACACACAGCCCTCCAGCACTCAGGCCCACTAGCCAGCACCTCAGCATGACACTTGGGGCCACTTCACAGTGAAATCACCAACAAAATGCTGAGAAATGTGCACAAAGTAGATCATGAGATGCAGACCACTGCTTTGTGACAGCTGAACAAGACAGTGGAGCATCCCTGCACTGGCATCAACTGGGAACACAAGTTGTGGGGACTGAAATTTTAGGCCACTTGTGTGTATCTACAAAAAACTGACAAAGCACCACAAGTACGGATCTGAGAAAGACAAATACATTTTAACAAGTAGGCCAGTCCTCAAATACAAAACCCATATGTGAGGATCGACTGCAGCTTCACGGGGGCGTGGTGAGGATCCATCCCAGTCCCCTCATGATGTGGGGGACGGCAAACACGTGCGATTTACACCAGTTACAGAAAATGACTACTTTGTTGTTCTTGTCGTACTGGGAACTGAACACAGAGATTTGCATTGAGCTACATCATCGGTCCTTTTTTATTTTTTGAGTCAGAGTCTTGACAAGTTGCTTAAGCTGGGCCCAAATTTACAATCCTCCTGCCTCAGCCTTTCAGAGTGTGGGGATTACAGGCATGAGCCAACTGCTGCTCATCTGTGTGTTTTTTCTTTCCTTTTTTTGCCTAATGAAAACATAGTACAGCACTTAAGTTTCTGACTCTGCCTCTCTATTATTTAGAAAAACAGAATGGAGGCTATATGGGGGGCAAGGGTTATGTTGGTTCTATCATGTTGTATACAGTCCACAGCTAGCACAGTGCCTCGCACATCATAGGAGATGCTCACCTAGTTGGAATTTGTTGACTGAATCAAGGAATGAAAATCATATCCAAACCAATACACTTGGATGAAACTGCTATTGTATCTTTGGGCTATGATGGCTACAATTCCACAATTTTAATAAGTTAACATATGTGAAAGGGAGGCGATCACTCAATTTTCCACATCTTTGGGAAGGCCTGGGCCCAGGGAATCAGAACCCAGTGAAAGGATTTCATGTCAACTCTCGGCTGACCGCTACCTTCAAGGAGAAGAGGACAATTTCTTCTGTTGCCACAGTGGGAAGAAAACACAAGTAATTGGATGCAACTTCAGTTCTGTGCTGGGAAGCAGCTGGCCACACCAAGAGGTGGATGCCCCTGGGAAGGCTGTTAGGTGATGATTGACATCTCCTCCCTGTCCCTGCTCTCAGATATGGAACTGATGATATTTTTCAAATATTTCATGAATTCCATCCGGATCTCTTCAGGCTCATCCTCAAGATTTGAGTGCACCAACTTCAGCTTGTTGAGTGGTGGTGCTTAAAGAGGAGAATCAGGTTGGTTAGGCATCAACTTTCCCCAAAGGGCCCCTCTCTACCTCCCCATGACCTGAGACTTCTAGGAGCCCATTAGTCTAACTTTATAAAGCCCAGAAATAAAGTTGTGTCTTGCTTGACTCAGCAGTGAAGGGTTTTATGACAATGCCTCCTGGCAATAGGACAAGAACTACACCAACCACCTGCGGGTCCTCTTGGAATTTTGTTTTTGTGGTGCTGGGGATAGAACTTGGGGCCTCACATATGCAAGACAAGTGCTCTGCCCCTGGGCTGCATCCCCAGCCCTTCCTCCTTGTTCTTAACCCAGGAAGGAAGAGATTCTCTCCTACTCTCATTTTGTTTCTGAATATATTCTGAGGTATTTTCCAGGATCACTTTGTCACCTCTGTTATATGTGTGCCACATAAGATGTGGAGGCTTTTGGGCTGGGGATTTAGCTCAGAGGTTCTGCTGAATGCCTCGCAAGCACAAGGTTCCGAGTTCAATCCCCAGTTCCAAAAAAAAAAAAAAAAAAAAAAAAGAAGATTTGGAGGCTTTCTTGAGCCAAGGCCTTTCAGGAAAGCGTGTGTCCAGTGGGACCAATGAATGGCTGAAACCAGGCTTCCCCTGTCTGGGAGTCTGTCTGCTATTAAGTGTCCATGTGCTGGCCCGGATGGCTCTTCCAACCTGGCAATTCTGACATGGTGACAATGACACATACCCGCACACAGCAGGTGCTCAGTGACTGCACGAATGGCCTTGAAGACACAGAGCCAACCATGGGTGCCCCAAATGCTGAGACAAGGGCAAAGGGAAACCTGGTCTCCTTACACAAAGACAGGCTCCCCTTGTCACCTCCAGAGCCTGGTTTGTGATGTGCGATGAGCAGGCACTGAGAATCCTGTAAGAACTGCTGCTGGACAAAGCAGGAATACCACATTTCGATTTCCTTCAGGTGGCTTGGGATGTTGGCATTGAAGACGATCACTACTCCCTGGGCATCCTTCATCAGGGCTGGCCAGCAGGACTCAAACCTGCAAGGCAGGCAGGGAGTCAGAGTGAGGGTTAGGTCATCCTGGTTTCTAACTGTGCATTTCATTTCACTTCATGTGAATTCCTTTTGTGGGGCTGGAGACAGAACCCAGGACCTCAAGCATGCTGGGCAAGCATTCTACCACTGAGCTACATCCCCAGCCCTGATATTTCAGTCACTGGATAAAGCAGATCTATAAGGAAACATACTTAGCATCGCCGCCACAGTCCCAGAGCTCAAACTCGCACCCTGTGCCCTTGTTGTTGCTGGTGACATTTGGGTTCTCAAATTCCAGGATCCTATAAATAAAAACAGCAGCAGAAGAACCTCTACTTTGGAAGCACTCTGGAAATGCCAAAAGCCCCCAAAGTAGGAGGTGAGTGACAGCTGGTGACTCTTTGGGACACAGATTGGGCATGCTAACCTCACTCCTTGGGTTGGGTTGTATTCAGTGATGTCTGAAGATTCCGTCAGAAAGTTGGCCAGAACGGTTTTTCCACTCTGTGAAAATGAGTGAATAAAGGTCTGCTGAAGAGCAGAAAGATAAACCATAAAGATCCCTCCTCATATTTGGCTTGGAACTTGGCATGGTGCAGTACAGCCACACACCATGCTGGCTTACTGTAGAGTGGTGGGCACAGCCAGGCCTGGGACCCAGAGGACATAGGATTCTAGCCCTGGCTCTGTCACTGAGGTGACTTGAACCACACTGATTTCCCTGCTTGGCTCGCTGCTTCAGAACCTGAGATCGGAGAAAATACCATGAGTGTCTCTCTTGCCTATTCCTCTTCATATCTTCAGGAAACCAGTCTTTCAGGAACAAAGCCACTGAGGCTCAGAGAGGGAAGAGGAGTTCTTCAAGGTCACACATAGGAACAAGGTCAGAGCTGAGTCCCAGGTCTGGGGACATCCACCTGGCTGGGCCGCAGTTCCACAGAGAGCTGTTTCTCCTTACGTAATACATAAGTAATATACATCCCCGTGTGAAATATCAACACAACAACAAAACAGCTTTCCTCATCTCTCCACTCAAACCATCCTTTTATCTGTCCTATTTCTTTCTCAAAGCTATGATCTGTTTTTCAGATCTTTTCTATATATTTGTATCATTCATTGAATTTTATATGTCTGAATATAAAACAAAGTTTTTTTTGTCATCTCTAAAGAGAGGCAATCTATTCAGCTTGGGTGCTTATAAATATTTCCCCCAAAACTGAGTGTGGTGGTACATGCCTGTAATCCCAAGGATTACAAGATTGCAAGGATACCAAATTCCAGTCAGGCCAGGCAACTTAGTGATTTAAAAAATAAAATAAAAAATAATTAAAATTAATTAACTGAAGGGCTGAGGATATAGTTCAGTACAAAGGCCCTCGGTTCAATCTCACATACTGAAATAAAAAACAAAAAACATAAAACACAAAGTTCCTCTCACTATGGCCTGCCCTCTCAGATACTTTATTTTGGGAACACTGCTTGGCAAAATGATCTCGATCAATGCTAGTTTGGGAAGCTTCGTGAGGTCAATTGACAGAATAAGGAAAGTAAAAGTAGGGGTAGGGACTCAACACTACTTTAGTAATTTTCCCTGAAGAAGCAGCTGTACAAATTATGTATAATGTAAAATGAACACAGCAAGTGATTATGTTGTACAGACCATGCATGTTTGTTTCTTAGGCTGACTAAATAAAGCAAATGGCCCGAGATTATAGGAACGGATTCTGGGGCTTGAATACATTTCCAGGAGTGATGCTATACAGAGATTCAAAAAGTGCAGTTTGAGAACCAAGACCTGTCATGTAAAGGTACAAGATCCCAATAATGAATGTTAACTGTACTGTGTACCTAAAATGTACCAATAAACTCAGTGAGGAAAAAAAAAGTGCAGTTTGTAAATAACTTACATAAGTGTAAAGAGGATGTGCTTTGGAAGACAGGTGAGAGGAACAGAAAAGTTGGTAAGGTTGAAAAGCGAGGAAAGGGGAGAACTGAAATTTATTTTATTGTTGATGTTGGGTGATGCATATCAGGAGCTCATCATTCTTGTCCCTCTATATACTTGAAATTTTCCATAAACTAAAAAAAATTTCAACACCTGCTTTGTTATTTATAATTCTGCACACTTAAGATTTTGTCTTGGAGCGCTTTCTATATCCATGTGCACAGATTTGACTCATTTTGCTTAATGGCTGTACCTTCTTTGCAAGTAGGAATGTATTGCCGGGAGTGGTGGCACACACCTGTAATCTCAGCACTCCAGAGGCTAAGGCAGGAGGATTGCCATGAGTTTGAGTCAGCCAGAACTACACTGTGAGACCCTGTCTCAAAAAAAAAAAAAGTAGGAAGGTATCTTACTTTCTAAATATTCTCTTCTTGGTGAGCAAAGGAGTTTCCCATTGTTCACTATTGTACATGACTCAGGAACACAGAAAAGCATTTAGTTATAATAATGATCACTGCACCAAAAGTGATACACATTGTAACTTTTAACAATTTGCCTTCCATGAAAGTTATATTCAGTTTAGAGTCTCAGCAAAGGGATCCTAGAACATTCATTTTCCCACATCCATCTTAACACTGCATATTATCAATCTTAAACTTTACCTATTCAATTTGGTGGGCAAATAAATATCATCTTTTTGTTTTAATCAGTGTCCCTGCGACTGTGAGTTTGAGCGACTTCTTATATGTAGTTACTGGACAATTTTATTTCCCAATTTTAATTGTGTGTAGTAGTGCCTTTGCTTGATTTTCTACTGAACTGTTTCTGCTTACTGTGTTTTAAACTTTCCTGGTGTACTTTTCCTATTAATCCTTTCTTTGTAAAGCTTTTTACAAATACCTTCCCTCTGCTTTAACTTCCCTGTTGTTTCTCCAAAGGTGTCTTCATTTTTGTGTTGTGCTTAAGAAAACCTTCCCTAACTCAAGCTAAAAACACACCTTTCCACACACTGACCTATGAATCTATAATGGACCAGGAACATCAGCATCACTATAAACCAGTGATGGCAAACCTTTTACAGCTTTCAATGATAACAAAGAGACTGCTGTGGCACGCATGCCACAGGTTTGCCACCACTGCTCTAGACCAACAGCATCAGCAAAACCCAATTCACAGGTCATCCTGGGCTATGAAATAAAAATTCTGTGGTAGGACCCAGTATTCTATGTCTTAACACACCCTCCAGGTGATTTCAAAGCACGCTGAAGTTGGAGAATACTTCTCATCTAATCACTTCTACTGCGTTTCTTTCCACATACATTTAGCTTTAGATCATCTAAATTTTTATTTTTGGGTACAACACGAAGCGCACATATATGTAGAAAGCCCGGCTACCACCGTCACACACACATTGATAGCCAATCATTCCAAACCATGTAAGTAATCTAGTTTTCCCTCCTGTTTCTTTGGCCCCACAGACACATTAAGGATGATTGTGAGTGAGTCAGGAGACTCAGGACCCAGTTCCAAAGATGCCACTCAACTATGTGGGCCTGCGGGTTCTAAACAACGGGTTCGCTTCCACCTTGGGCAGTAGTGATTATCAAGGAGTTTGCGGTAAGGCTCTCGCCGGGTGGCAGCTTTAGGACCGGGTTGTCACCTCCTGGGGGGCTGCTTGAACAAGGCACAGACTCAGGGGACACCCTCACGTCCATCAAGGCCCCGCTGGTGGGTCCCGCCGCCGCGCTGAGTCCAGCCTCACCTCGCAGGGGCCCACGAAGAGGATCTTGGCCTTCAGCATCGCTGTCGCTGTCCAGGAGCTCTCCTGAATACGTCCCGCGTCCTGTGGTGCGTCGAGTCTACAGCCGGTGAATCACCGCGCTGATTGGCTGTTTTCGTTTCCATGGCGACCGGGAGCGGTGCGCAGGGAATGACGGGATTGGGCACTTCCGGGAGCGGCGGGCGGAAAGAGGGCGTGAGAGGCTTGCGGAGGTGAAACTGGTGGGAAAGCCAAGAACTCCAGCTGCAGAAGCGATTCTGTGGGCGCAAGACTCAGAACCCGCCAGTCCCGCCTCTCTTTGTAGGGATGTGGAAAGTGAGCTCCAGGAGGGGGCGCAATGGTCGGTCCCTAATTTTCCTTATTTTTCCTAATCACCCTGAATGTTCAGAAAGGCCTAATAGTTGGTGACCTGGGCTAGGTACCAGGCCTCTGACTCTGTTGTCATTCTGCGGTGATACTGCCCAGATTGGGGTCGGATTTATCATAGCCTTGTCCCAGGGGAGGAAAAAGCAAAAGCGAAAGAAGCCAGGAAACACAAGTCTAGGATTTATAAAGGGCTTCACCATTACTCAGATGATTTGGGAGAGACCAAAAAGGCATTGTTTAGGCAGTATGGGTGCTTGGGAATATTGCCTCTAAATTAGCCTGAGGTTACATGGCCAGACCATAGTATATAGTTTTTGTTTTGTTTTGTTTTGTTTGTACAGGGGACCGAACTCAGGACCTTGCGCGGCAGGCGGTGGAACCACTGAGCTAAATCCCTGGCCCTATGTTATGTAGTTTTTAGAAACAAATGACTAAATGTGATCCTGCACTTGTTTACATTTGGTTCAAACTCACTGTCTTTTACTTGGGGGGAGGGGGTTAGTGCTTATGCCCCACGCTTGACCACTTCCCTTCCCTCCTTGTGACTTAAAATTTTCATTCCATTGAGGACACAGACAAGTAAACTCCTGACAGGAGCTCATGATGACCTGGGGTGTATTTTTTTTTTTTTTTTACATTTTATACATGCCTGCTGTACACAGCTCTCTAGACATGTGGATCTGGACTCTTAAATTTTGGCTGAAACAGGACTCCTCCAATTTTGGGTGAAACTTTAAAGGCTAACAACAGATATTACATATCTTTAGATTTTAGTCTATCTCTTGAGAACTAGTACATCACCTGGAAGTTATTGAAGAATTATGAGGTCGAAGAAAAAGAAGAGAGGAAGAATTTCTTTGAAGAGAATATTGTTTGCTTACCTCAGGTCAAGTGGGAGATGGAGTTTCAGAGAACCTGTGTCCTGTAGAATTTGGGCAGCGTGAGGATAGATGTGGGAAGCTGTAGGGAGATCTCAACCAAGAGTAGGGAAAGAAAAAGATGCATTGGGAGTAGCCAAGGATACACGAGATTTTTCCCTAGGACACTGAGATGGGAGGGAGTTGTCTCTGAGTTATTTAGGACAGGGGTTTCCAAGCCTGGGCTGCAGACCAGTACCAGTCTGTAGGCTGTTAGGAACTGGGCCAATCCCCACCCCTGGCATCTTTGCCTATGCCCCATCGCCTGCCTCCTATCAGGTCAGTGGAGACATTTGTTTCTCATAGGGATGTGAATCTTGCTGTCAACTGCCTGCTCTAGGTTGCACGCTCTTTTGAATCATTCCCAAGGCACCCACCGTCCCCCTCCCTGTCCACGGAAAAATTGTCTTCCTTGAAACTGGTACCAGATGCCAAAAAGGTTGGGAACCACTGATTTTAGGATCTTGCCTTTGGGAACTCCCTAAGGAAGGTGGACTCCCCAGAGACGATGGCCTGCTGGGTGCTCAGGCCGTGGCATGAGGAAGCAGCAGACTGTTGTGGGTCTTGACGGAACCTACCAAGGCTTCCCAATGAGATAAAAATCAACACTGGGGATCAGCTACTTCAAAGGACACCCAAGCTGCATTACATCTGCACTTGTTAGATAAGACCTTTTCTGTCCTCCTGTACATTTCTCATAACTCATGTGTGGAAGGTCCCAAGCAGCCCAGTGAATGAAACTTGGAGGGGTGGTAACGGAGAATAAGACGGAAGAATAAATTTGAGTGATTTGAGTTGATTCCCCTTGCAGTCTTCCCACCCTAAATCCAGGCCAGGTTTTGGGATTGAGGCAGAGAGCTATAACTCTTGAATTAAGCACAGAATTTTGATTAATAATTCAAACCTTTTATGGAAATTCCTATCAAATAAAAAGATTGTGGTGTGTCCTCATTCACCTTATTCACTGGACATGACAGCGTATGACTTCCGGCTCTTCTCCAAAGTCAAAATGACCATGAAGGGGAAACATTTTAAATCCAGGACATTGGGACAGCCACAAGGGCGCAACTGAAGACATTTATGAAAGAGGACTCCAGACCTGCTTCAGAAAGTAGCAAGAATGATGAAATTAGTGTGTTAAAGAAAGGAGTATTCTGAGGGGCATTTATGGTAATGTGTCTTCTACTGTAAACATTTTTAAAAGTTTAAACATTCATGTATTTTGTAACCACAGTACATTATGACATTGGACATTATAATGGAAACCTTAAATACATTGGCTACTACCTACCTATTTGGGCCCATTTTCACCTAACCCTGCTATGGATCCTTTCCTCCATCTTATCCCTCAAGGCCTTTCTGCTCCCTCCTTATCTTTTTCAGTGTCGAGGATAGGACCCAGGGCCCTACACATGCTAGGCAAGTGCTCTGCCACAGAGCTACATCCCCAGCCTCTCTGCCATTTTTCATGGTGTTCACTCTTTGGAGCACACCATGATGCCATCGTGACCAGTGCAGTTACATTACAGTGTCCTTAAAGAGCTAGATAATTAACATCCTTTTGGCCCCATTGTAAAGTGTATGTTTAAAGATTAAGTGGTTGAATCCTTGGCTTTGAGCAGTAGGAGGAGGTGGCATCTGTTCTCAGATGAGGAAAAATGAAGATGGCATGAAGATAATCTGGAGGAGTTTGTATTTTGCTTAGGAATTAATATTATTGATATAAAAGCCAACCACAGTGGCAACAAGAGATCTGGATGTCCAGGATTGGAAAGCCTAGGGCTGATATGGCAGCTCAGCAATAGCCTTGGATTCCTGGCTCTTTTGACATTTTTCCTCTGCTGGTTTAGTCTTTGTCCTCATGCATGTTGTCTTATTGTCACAAAGTGGCTGCTGTGCTTCCAGCCATCGTGCTAGCAATTAAGGAACAGGGGTAAGGAAAACTGCTGTGCTAGTTGAGTCTATTCCTTTAAAAATCAGTTATTGCATTAAAATTTACATATATACAGTAAACATTTTACATGTTGAGTTTCAAAAAATATTTAGTTCCATATAATTATCATTTCCCTCAAGACGTGGAATGTTTCTACCACCAAGAAAATTCCCTCATGTTTCCCTGCAGTCAGTTCCCTCCCACTCATAACTATAGAAAACCTCAGTTGTACTTTTTGTCACTAGATTTATTTTTGGTTTTTCAAGAATTTCATATAAATGGACTCACTCAATATTTCACTCTTTTGTGTCTGGCTTTTTTCACTCAAGCAATATTTTGGGTATGACCCTATGTTCTGTGTATCAATAGCTTGCTCTTTTAATTGCTTAGTAGTAGTCCATGTATGGTTATACCATAGTTTTGCTTATCCACTCATCTGTCGATGGACATTTGGGTTATGCTTTAGTCACTTTCTCATTGCCAAGACACAATCCCAACACCCACAGCTGAAGGAGGGGAAGTTTATTTTGGCTCATGGTTACAGTCCATGGTCAGCTGCCTCCAAGGCAGAAATAGCCTGGCAGAGGGTCAGGGAGGAGGTAAAGCTGCTCACATCATGGTGCCAGGAAGCAGAGCAAAGGAAGAGTCAGGAAGAGAGATGAACACTTCCAGGTCGTGCCCAGGACCACCTTTAAGCAGGCTCCATCTCCTAAGCAAGTCAGCTGCAGCACCCCCATGATTCAGTCACCTTCCAAAAGCCCAGCCTCTGAGCCCACGAGGGTTTTTTGGGAGGAGTGGGGGGGTCATTCTTGATGTAAATCGTAACAGATTGTCTCAAGTGTTTGGCTATTGTGAATAAAGTCGGTATAAATTAAGCATTGGTGACTTCATTTCTTTTGGATAATTACCCAGGTGTAGAATTGCCGAGAAGCATGACTATGTCTATGCCAGGGATATGTTCTGTGAAGTGAATCCTTAGGCAATTTCATTGTGGGAACACCAGTGTGCATTGACACAACTAGATATGACCCCTCGATGCCATCAAGAGGCGCAGTATGCTCGAGGTGGATGGGGCCGCTGCTGGTGCACATGGCGCTGTTTTACAGCCAACTTTTGTTTATAAGTAGGAGTGCACTGTAGAATAGCTCAGCAAAGCTTGAGTGCCACTTCCTCCCAGTCCACTGGGGCTGCCGCACTTCTGTGGGTGGGGAGGTCGGATCGACACAGCATAACCACAGCAACTCAGAAGTTCATGGGCTCTACCGTAGCATTTTCAGGCTGGTGAGGGAATGGCAGGTGGCATCGGGACAGATGGAAGACACAATCAAAGAAAAATAGTCCATGTTAACTGAAACCATGATGCTGTTTCTGAAAAAACAAAAACCTCACAGATACAAACCTGTGTAGAGATGAACGCACAGCCAGGATGAGGCTGGGCTGCATTACCGGCTTCTGTATCTAAGGCCAATGCATTTGCCTCCAGCTTGCCTCAGCCTACTATGAGGTTGGGAACTTCAAACCTGGGAGAAACCGAGGAAACTTGCCCAACCCATTCATCTCAAGTCTCACGATGAAGTTTCCTTACCCAGAAGAAAGTCTGTTTCCTGCAAATGATGAACCAACTAGATTTTGACTATAAATCAGATAACATGACACTTCTTTATTAGCGACAAAAGTTCATATATCTTCTCTGGAACTGTCCATCGCCATGATGTGCATGCCCACACATCCCCGGGGCTGGTCAGGGTCTTGTTTCTTGAGCAACGACATTAACCCCAGAGGTCATGGACCTTCCATCTTCACTGAAGTCACCTTTGGGAATAAAGGCTGAGTGAGGACTGCGGAGGGAGTCGGAAGTGACACAGCTGTGCATGGGGACACCATTTGCCACCCATCAGCTGATGCATA